GAGCAAGGAAGTTTCCTTCCTTATGTGTAAACCATGAGCAGTGTTTGCACTTTGGGAAAATGCACGAGTGTGAAATCAGGAAGACAGGAAATTGGAGACACTCTTAGTCCTGGATTTCTCATAGTCGACCAGCTTCCATATGGTTGCAGTCAACAAGAGGATATTCAAAATATGTTTAGATGGAAGGATACAAGAGGAAGTCATGCCTACTTCTGAACTAACTTAGCTTTGATAGCACTGTAATAAAGCTGTGTTATTATTAAACAGTCTCAGGTAATTATCTTGCTCATAAGCTACAGCAAGATCTGCTTGGGCATGGGTGGACTCCTTCTGTTCTCTAAATTAGCTGAGATTCTCCTCACACAGCAATGAGTATTAGATGGAGGGCACTTATTTTCATTTTACAGTAGTCACATATGGTTGCATTCATGGTGGGTTGTTTGGACTTTCAGAAGTCATTACTGACTCATGCACAATACACTGTACACAGAAACACTTTTTCCTCTGCTTTAGATAGGCATGAAAATGGGTGGCTGTTTTGCCTGTGTTAGATTGCATGGTCTTGTTGTAAGGCCTTTACTGTAAGACAGAATTGCTCAGAAAATTGCCAGCTAAAAGGAGCTGAAGAAAGGATGCTGTATTACCTCCCACAAACTCTCTCACAGTGTTCATTTGCATTTTTTCAGCTGACAGAGGAGGCAAAAAGGGTGAAGTAGGATGAAAATGCAAGTGTTGCAGTATCCTTAAGGTTTTCCAGGACTCTTGCATAAATACACATTTCTTTTCTAACTAACACATTTTAACTATTAAACTGCTAAATCATCACTTCCAGTTGGAGGACATAAGAAAACAGTTCCCACAAGTTCCTGAATATGTTCACTGATCTAGCTTGATGTCATTTAACCTGCTGTTCCTTCTGTCTCTATTTCTGATTTTATGATAGGGGTCTTTCAGCTTTCAACTGCTCTCCCTCTAGAGTCAAGCGTTTGTTAAGTTGACATTGCATCCATGATAATTCTATGATCTGGATTTCTTATTTTCATGAAAAAAAATTTGCAGTTATAAAAATTACTTATGCTTTAACTTTTGCTTTATGTTAAAGAAAAATATAAAGAAAAATAAGACAATATTTGGGACCAGCTTAGCTGTTTGGTTGCAATTAAATCATTTCCTAAAAGCATTCAAAAGTGATTCCTAATAAAAACGCCTGTTCTGAACCAAGTATTTTGCAGCCCGTGGAGAAACCTTGGGGAGGGTGCTGCTGCTCAGCATCACAAGGATTCTATTCTTGGGCTAAGGCTTTGAGATTTATCAGGAGATGCAGAAGACATTTTGTGGTTGTAATGGCTGGAACTGCACATTCTCCATCAGTTTTTTCTGATCAATGAAATTTTTCTAATTCTGGCATTTCTGAGGAACTGTAATTACTAGTTATATTGGTAAAGACACTAACGTACTCTAGTTCTGTCTGACACAAGGAAAAATAAATACCTCAGAAACAAGAACAGTTGCAGTTGTACCCACATAAAGTTTTGCTACCTTTTACCTCAGGGAAGTAAGGTGTTTGCATACTGTGGTCTCGGACTACTAAAAAGTACTGCTTAAAAGACCAGAGAAAGTCGGGTTCCTCAAAAAAAAAAACAACAACCCATTACAGTGGCTCTGCTATGGAAGCTTATTGCCTTACAGAAGCTGTATACTGGTTTGCTTCCAACTCTGAGTTACATTTTTTTTTTTCTTTTTAAAAATGTCATGAAATTGACTGTTACATGATTAAGCAGTGAGTCCTAAAGATGTAGGCATCCTGTAGAGAACAAGTCTCTTCTTGCGATACATCCAGTGCCCTGCAGGCTGGGCATACACCCAATCTGCTTGCATAAAGTCACAGCACTTGTAATACTACTTCAGGAAAAACACCTGAGCAAGGCTAAAGGAGGAGTGAGATGACAGCATGGGCATGGTACCACCACACTTTGCTGCGGCCATCAGGTCCCCTCTGAGCCCTTAGCCTGGTGAATGCTGCCAGCTGCTGGATGGTAACTGTCAGCAGCTCCTCAAGCAAGGCTTTGGAGGTCAGCTGAGGTGCTCCTCTTCCAAGCTAGACCTTGCTTTTCCAAGCTGTGTGCTATACCTCTGTGCCTCCTCTAAACTCCCCAAGAAAAGAGTTCGAGCTAAAACACCAAGCTAGGTACTAAGATACAGGCACAGCTTTGCTATCTCTTCATTTTTTCTCAGGCAGCTGCCTGTGTACAAGAAGAATAATACAGTTGACAGGTCTTCCAAAGCAAATGGAAACCCTTTGGCATAAGAAAGAAAAGAGACATAAAACAGAAAATGTAGTGCAGTGGCTAGAAGGGAGCAGAAGTCATAGAGCAGAAAAGAATGTCGAAAAGTCAACAGAAAGATAGATTGGTTTTGATGGGTTAGTGGAAACAAAAGTAAAGATGGAAATTCTTTAAACAAAAGGGCCGGGGTGGCATCAGCACTGCCAGCCAGGTGAGGTAAGTGGTTGTCCCACTCAGCTCTATGCTGTCTGACCTCACCTCCAGCACTGGATGCAGGCTTTGGTGCCACCATACATGAAAGACGTAAAAATATTAGAGAGCATCCAAAGGAGGGCTATGAAGAAAGTGAAAGGTCTGGAGGATATGATGTGAAGTGCAGCCAAGGTCCCCTGTCTTGCTGGAGATGTGTCAGGGGATGGCCAGGGTGTTAGGAAAAGGTTCTTCGCTAGAGGGTGGTGGGCATGGAACAGGCTGCCCAGGGCAGTGGTCAGGGCCCCAAGCTGCCAGAGTTCAAGAAGCATTTAAACCGTGCTCTCAGATATGGTGTTTGGATTTTGGGTGGTGCTGTGTGGAGCCAGGGGTTTCGACATGGCGATCCCTTTGGGTCTCTTTCAACTCCCAACAAACCTGTACTCTATGATTCTATGACCTCCTTAGGCCTACCTGAGGAAAATTCTTGATACAAGACTGCAAGGGAAGCTCTGCTGGACTGGAGACAATCTTTTGTGTGGGAGAAGTTGCACCACAACCATTTACTACTATGACCAATGCGGTTGCTATTACTGAGGATAATGCACTGTAAAGTATTGGCTTCTGCTTCAGTCCTGAGTGTCATCAGTGACATTTCCTTTGCTCCTTGTGTAGTACAAGTTGAATTACAAGCAAAGGGAAGGCTATTTATTATGTAATTAGCAAATGATTTAACCTGAAATATTACCGATGTAGTAAGAGGTTCTATTGCAGCATAAACAAGCAGCCATGTTTCATGTAAAAGACACCAAGCTTTCTGTTCCTTCCACAGTTTTTGGCTTTAAAGCTGTTGGTTTTAAAGCTTTTCCATTCTCCCCTGGACCAAAGATCAGACGGAATGGCCAACGGCTCCATAACTGCAAATCTTTCAGCCATCAAGCAGTCAAAGAGAAAGTAGGGAAAAGAACAAATAACACGCTCAAAACAAGATTCTTCATTCCACTTCAGCAAGTTAATGTTAACATGTATTTTTGTCTACTCCTACCTGATTATTCTTGAAATCTTTAGATGGCAGAAATTCAGGATAGCTCATTCTTCCATAGTGCAAAGAAAGCTTTTGCTAGGTATGCTAGGGAACGAAGACCATGAATTCTCACGCAAAAGATAAAACAAATTAGGTATTACTTTTTTCAAGAAATTCTGAGTGATTGTGGGTTGGACTCAATGGTCCCTGTGGGTCCCTTCCAACATGATATATTCTGTGATTCAAAGAAGATAGGTGCTTTAGAAAGTTGAATAAATCGAAACTGTTGTTTTATTGTCAGCCTAATGGTGCTGGTCAAGCTGCTGATCAGTACTTCTAATGTCAGAAGTATGAACAGCACTGATGGAGTATGTATTGAGAATGTGAACTGGCAGTGTTTGGCACATTCAGTACAGTCTTCTGATTGAAGCAGTCAGCTTAGTAGGTTTTTGAATACTAGAAATTTCAAGGAACTTGGTTTCATAACTAATCTTTAGTGAAGAATGAACACCACATTTGAGTTATAACAATCACTAGATTTGTTTGGGCTGTGGTAATTTTACAGCCTTAATGTTATATGCATTTGATTAGAAGCAAATACCCTGCAAACACATAGTGTAGGTGAGGGGTGAAGTCCATAAATGCCCAGCAGAATTTAACTGCTTATTCTATTTACATACACAATTTTAGAAGTGTCAAAATAGGCTTGGTACAATTAAGAGGCACTTGGATCTTTTTGAGCAGTCGTCACCCCTCAAGATGTAAAATATTGAATAAATAATATTTTTTTCAGTTGTCATTCCAGAGCCATGTGCTTAGCTCTGACATGTTGTAACATAAATATATATAAGTTGAAAACGAGGTTATTTCTATCCTGAACACACCTGAACAGGTTTTTCAAAATAGAACAGTTCTAATGTTGGAACAAAAGGAGAGGTTGAAGTTTTCTACAAAACAGACTCAAAATCCTTAGGTTCTCAGAGTTAGATGAAGGATAAAAGGGCAGAAATTTCTGAATCTTGATATTTATGGTGTATTGCCATACTTTTAGATTTGCATGCCAGAGTGCTAGTGTTTGTATTTATTTTTTTAAGGAAGAACGTAATTAATTTCCGGGATGGTCTAACTCTCCTGGTTCGTGCAGAATGCTGCTGGTTTTACGGCATCTGCTGAGGTAATGATATTTATTCTTGGAGTGTCCACTATTTAATCTCTACAGTCAGTTTTTGCTTAATTCTTAATGGATAAACCTTAATAGGAAGCGTATATACAAGCCCCATTTCTTTCTGTAGGAGAGGTCAAAGATGGTGTGCTTATAGACTTTGTGCTTTTTGAATGATTTCTGTTGGGTCTAAAATGTTCATCTCCAAGAGGAAAGAAAGTTTCCATGCTTTTCCTCTTGGGACTTCCTTTTTGTGTTTGTTTAAAATTAGCATTTCATTATAAGCCAGAGAAAAACACATCTTTTTTTTCTTTCTAATATGCTTTCCTTCTGATTTCAGCTTGGGGAAGAGCTGCAGCTGCCACATACCTTGTTGGCTTCATTCTCCTTGTCATCTGTTTTGCTCTGGCCATCATAGCGTTTGCCATTGATACACTTCGGTTCAACTTCATAAGAGGGATTGGAGGCTTGCTTTTTGTTGCTGGTAAGACAATATGTGAAGCAAAGTTTAGCTCATGCAGATATACTAGAACTGATATTTTCCTTATCTGCTTCTATGCTCAGTTCTCTGTCAGTATGCATTTGAACTCTCAATGAAAGATAACATAAAATCAGCCGTGGCAGTGGATCAATTTCCAAATCCTCCAAAACATGGGTGGATTTAGCTGCAACTATTATGGAGGTGAGCAGTGTGATTGGTGTAAGCTTAATCCACTTTTTCCCTCCTGTTTCTTCAGCTGTGTTCTCCATCATGGGCCTGGTCATTTATCCAGTGAAGTTCTCCAGTGAAATTGAAATGACAGGAATCAATATGTTCAGCTGGGCCTACGGCTTTGGCTGGACCACTGCCATTATGGAAATATGCTTGGGATTCTTCTTCTGCTGCCTTCCTAACTATGAAGATCAAATCTTGGGTAATGTGAAGCCCACGTATTTTTACTCTTCCCCATAAACACCAGGAAAAATATATTTGTATTCAAGAGATATCTGACTGACCATCTATATTTTCCAGAATAGTATCATCAGATGGAGTAGAAAAGGTTGGAAACTTTTAAAATACATACAGAAAAACAGTACTGGCATTTTACAATAAAGTTATTTACTATTTTCTGAACCTTCGTATCTGATGTGGATTGCTTAGAAGATTAATTCTAAAAATTAAAAAATCCTTGTGTTTCCTCATTCATTCCCATGAATGTGGGTGCATATGGATTCCATTAAATCTTATATGCTTTTACATTTCCAATTAAATTCAGAAAAGAAACTATCAGTAAAGAAAACAACACATACCGTCTTTCTGAAGAAAATTAGCTCACAGAAATCCCATTTTGTATGTTTCAATTTTCTCTAACCTGAAGATTTTTCAAGAAACCAAATGCCTTAATCTACTGACTGTCAGAGCAGCAAATTAGTCAGCCAGCACTCCAAGACTTTCCTTCCAGTTTTGCATTCATTCACTTAAACTGTAGGGCTACAGGTCAAGAGAGACCCCCACTACCAAAGGTAGCATCCTGATTTTCACCCATCCATTTAGAATGTAAGTATTTATTTCTGAATGTTAGCATCAGTAAGCTAAGACCACCAGTAATCCAAGCACCCTCAAAAATTCTGGCGTTCTGTTGTTGATGCCAGCACAGAGCAGGCAAAAGAAAGGGGATTTCCAGACATTTCTACAACCTACAGATCTGGTTTGAAGAGGCTCCTCGTTCAACTTTTTTTCATGGGCCTCTGCCCGTTTGATCAGCTGTATCAAAATCTACGGCTTTAGGAAGCTCTGCTTTACTGTTCCAGATGTTTTATTCAGGACAAAAGAGTCAGGAATGAATTATGCAGAGGCATAAGCCACTCAGCAGCCTGGCACACCTGAGGTGTGGGCCTGGAACACTGTGATTCGAGGTATCAAACTTTTACCAAAAGGCCCTTTTCATTAATTTGACGCTTACAAGTATTCTAAAAGTAGAGATTGTATACTGTAATGTGTGTAAATACCAATAGTAAGACTGTCACATATAAGACACCTTTCAGTATCTTATATTCAACAGCGCTGCAAGCCTGGGTATATTGAAAGCAATGAGGTATACTCAATAAACTGCTGGCTTCTGTATTGCTAACCGTAGCTTTATAATACTCAATGTCTTGCTTTCTGTAAAGAGAAATCCTACTGAAATCTTTAACTAGATAGAATTATTATCTTGTAATACATGTGCAATTTTGTAACTGTACTTTGGAAAATGTCCTGCCAAATGTTCTTCACTGCAAAGAATGAGAGAATTTTTTTTTAGTAAAGCTTCTAAGTAGCTAAAATTAATTAAGATACAGGCCTTTATCTTCTTTTTTCTTTTTTTTTAAACATATTTTATTCATCCTTTTTTTTTTTTTTTTTAATGCAATTAACTCCATTTAATTTTGTGGGGTGACTCCTGACTTAGATCAATAAATATGAGAGATGCATCAGGCTCATATGGAGTGCCTTTGTGACAGGGACAGGCTAGAAAAAAGCTTGCAAATACAATAAGAAGATATTTCCTAGTTGTAAAAAAAAAGAAAATAAAATAAACACAGTTGGGATAACAGTTTGTATAAAATGTCTTCCAATTCTTTATGTAATGTTACCTGTCCAGGAAAAGAAAATCTTAACTCTTTCCATTATGCTTATTATATCTAATAAATGATGGTATCTACGTATTGTTTCAAAACTGAGTCTTAGATTTTGTTGTCTGCCAAGAAGAAGAAAGCATGGAGCCTCCCAGGGTATTCTCTTCTAAGGCACCATATTGGAGCATCTGTGCGTACTGGCTGGATTTGATAGGGGAGAGTAATTTAAAGATCTTACATTAAGACATCTTGTTCTGCTCTTCAGTTGACTGTATCCTGGGGCCTCATTCATATTCATATGAGAATAGTGATTTTGCTCTGTTGAATTGATGGTCTACATGGAGACAAGTAACTATATGCATGGTTCTGTACTACAGTGTGTTACAGCTTGTTTTAGTGTGGGAGACAATGTTCTCATGTTCAGCAAATAAGAAGGCTGTGTCCTGTGGTCCTGCTCAGTGCTTTTGGATGTGTCAGTCCCTTGAGGAAGCAAAGGTGAACTTGAGCAATCACTGACTGTATTTATAGTTTCTTTCCCATTAGCTGAATGTTGACCCAATATCTGGAGGTGGAGAAAGATGCACAAAACAAGGTTTAGGAGTATGACTCCAACCTTGTTGTAAGAGCAGAGCATAATTAAAAGGCAAAGAAAATCTTAGTGACAGATCATGTCCCCTCCTCCCTTCTCTCCTTTGCTGCTCTCAGCACTTCATCATCTCCTCCTTCACTTCCTCTTCCCTAAAGGCAGCAAAGCAGTATCAGGGCTGGTGATGATGGCTCTGTGGGATGCAGCCCCAGCATCCATTCTCCACTGCCATTTTCAGGAGGGCTGAAGTGGCTTTGCCAACTCCAGCACAGACAGAGGGAACCCAGCTCAGTTCCCTCTACAGAACCCAATGTCCAAACAGAGAAGGACTTTATTCAAGACAAAAGAGGGGGCAAGTGGATATCCAACGTGCAGAAGCACTACAGGTTGTAGAGCTCAAGTGCTTGTATTTAAAACAGTTTGTTTTCAGTGATTGAATAGAATCGTAGAATAGTCTGGTTTAAAAAGGACCTCGAAACTCCAGTCTTTCATGGGAAAAGGGAATGTAGACAAGATTATATTGTACCCTGTCCAAAGTGCCCCTGCCACAATGGTGGAACCAGATACTTGAGAGAGCACGGTGCAAGCAGAATGCAAAATGCATTCCATTTTAACAGAAAAAGGTGCTGAATCCAGAAGCCAAGGAGGTGGCTAAACTAGATTATCAAGAAACTGTAAACTGGATAAGTGATCATCTAGCTAAATTATCAACTAAATTGTTAAATTAACCTTCAGCCAGGTCAACTAAATTATTAGCTAAGCAAAGTGGTGAATGATTTTGAACAAAGTCAACATGTGATTCTGGATTTTGAAACCAAGGAGAAATAAGAGAAAGAAAAGGAACCCCTGATGTTCTGGTTCCATTTCTTAGGGTTCTTAATTAATGTCTCACCTGTAGGAAAAAAAAAAAAAAAAAGGTGCCTAACCACTAAAATAAGTAAAATGAAAGACTTAGAACTTCTTTGTGCCCAATCACAGTGCTGAAGAGATGCCAAGTAAGAATAGATGACTGCAAGATTCGTCTTTTGAGATTATGAGCTCTGCTACAGCAACAGAAGGAAAGACATCACTGCCAAAGGCATTGCTGCTTCTCCTGTCAAATTAACTGCTGGGGAAGCAACTTCCAAAAATGCATTTCATTTAATTCAACTATATTACTAATAGAAGAGAAAGGCAAAATAGTGCTGAAAACAAGCAAATTGTCAAGCAGCTTCCCAGGTACAAACTGAAGCAGAAGAATTAATGAAATCTTTCTAAAGGTAAGTTAGTATATTCCATTTAATTTACGGTGTTTCTTCCAGAGCATGTGTGGCATGTTGGTGTCTTGGTCTTTGTGATTCCTTTTGCAGATATTTCCATCTTTCATTATGCATTTGTCAGGCACCTGCCACTGGTCTTAAAATGTAGCCTGCCTAATCAATAATGAAAATGTAATCTAGTTTGCGACTGTATTAAAGTTGTGCATATTTTGTTGTATGAACTAATGCTATGAGTGATATTTTGACCCTGTTGACATCACTTGCAAATCCATTATTGATTTTCTTGAGGCTGACATTTCATTCTTGAAGAGCAAACACTTTTTCCTACATGTGCTTGGAATAAATGAATGTCTCTGTGGGCAGCTCCATTGATTTCAGCAGCTGTGTTCACTTCTGGAGTGCAACACCAGTCCGTGCAAGGGAAGTTACTGGAGTTACAGAAAGCAGGATGGTTCCTAGGAAAAATGACAATTCAATATGTGCAATATCTTGCAAAATCTGGATCATAATTGAATAACATTTTTTTGATACACATGTTCACAGTAAAAAAAGAAGAACCTTCTTTATTGGCAGATTTTAGCTCTACAACAATTATTACTTCTTATAATTTAATTTCTTGGAATACTTTCTTGCATGTTTTAATAGTCAGTGAACTTCTCAGTGCTCTGAAGATGAGTAGATTCAATAAGAGAATGGAATAACAGAGCTCGTGGTTAGGAGGTAATTGATCCATTTGTATGCTGTGGCAGGAAGCAGTAATCAAACTATCTTGCTGGAGAGATACTGAATAGAATGACCATAGTTTCTTCTGAGTTGTATTGGAAGGTAAAATAAGACAACTGAATCAAAAGACTGCTACATAGTTAATAAGGGAGTTAGACAGAGGAAGTCACACAGATCTTCCCTTACTATTTTCTCAGCTGTTAAATTACTGCTATTGTCAGAAATTTTGGTTTTGAGGAAAAATTGCTATTCAGGTGCAGCTGTGTTTTAACAACTAGGCCTAAATTTTATCTCCAAAGTTCTTCAGTGCCCAAACCTAGGAAAATGGATGGATAACCTTAGGATTGCAGATATTTCTGCTTGATCCTTCCATAGGTGGTTCCTTAAGTGACTTAAGGATTTAAGATTAAGGCCTGTGTGCTTGGCTATACACACTGATTAGCTCAACAGATTTTTTGCCTATGGTGTAGAAACACTTTTCAATTTTTTTCATTTAATCAGAATGAAAATGTGGATGGATCCCAGAATTCTTTGTGTAACTTCTGGGTGTGAGGAGAACTTGCAGGAACAACTTTCAAAGCAGCTTTACTGTTTAAGATAAGAGGTTGGATCAAAATGTCCTCTCCTGATCAGCTTTATAACACATCCTTTTACTTGTGCTGCTGTTTGCCTAAGCCATCTGTTTTTCTGTAAAAACAGTTTTGCAAAAGGCTACTCTAATGAGTCTATCATACTGAGCTTACGTTAGACATCCATGGAGGGCCCATCATAAATCACTCTAAATTGCCCTTGACTCTTCAGATGCAGTTCAAGCAGAGAGAGTGGCAGGTTGCTTGAAGGATTTTTCCAGAGAATAGTGGAAAACCAGTGGAAGAAAATTCACTCAATTCTTAACTAGGATTGCATGCCCAACACCCAATTTCTTATGAAGGAATTAGTTAAGGAG